TATATATATATATATATATACATATATATATATATATATATACCGAAATGTGATGGACTGATCTGAGATGTTTCATTTCACCTCTATTAATGTAAAAAAAATTGCCGCCATATTGGCTGTCAAGATACATTAAACCTTTTTACGGTATGAAAATATACTACAGAAAAATAAATACGCATATTTGCAATATAGTAAATAGTTTTTTATTTTCAGTTTTGACAAAAATTTACTAAATGTAGGACGTCGAACTGTGTTCTTCTTGGTGTTCTCCATCATTAAATTATCTAACTTTACCTGAAAAATGAATCAAAATATATTGTAAGATATAACCCATTGTTTTTACAGTCATAGCTGCCAACGTTTACCCTTTTCATGAAATATTATACCCTTTGTTAGCAAATTATGTTTTATTACATGTATATAATTTCGTAACTTAAATATTAATTAGTGTTAGCTTATTTAAGATGTGATAGCATGCATTCAATAATAGAAAATTTCGATCACTGGATCAAACGATATTTATTTTAGATATTTTTTTTTTCATTTCAGTCATAGCTGTCAATATTTCCGGAATATTTTAATTTTAAAAGCCAAACTTATACTTTGCAATTTCGCTCTCAGACTTTATAAAATTAATTTATAATAATTTTAACTACTACCAAAAAATGAATAAATTAAACATAAATGTATGATTATCATGTAGAGCTACCAACTTTCTTCGCATTTTGGGAAAACTTCTTTTAGTGGTGGTAGCTAAGTTTATGATTTAATGCATGACTTTTTGTGTTGAAATTTGATTTAAAGTTATTTTTCACACCAGTAAAAAGCTTATATGAAACACTTTGTTCCAGCTCTCTCGTAGTGTGGTTATTAAAATTTAAACAAAATAGCCAAAGATTCTGAAAGCGTTTGTTTTTAATTGTCTATCATTCTATTAAATATTATGCGAAAGCTAAAGCAATTAGCAACCCTGTTATCATATACTAATATTTAAATATCTTTAACTACCACTTGGGAAAATCTTTTTTGGAAAGAGCAAAAGTTGGCAGGTATGTATTACAAATAAAGTTAACTTTAGAGAATAAGATTTTAAACAACAGTTAAATATTGCTAAAATATAAACATTTACTAATTTTTATATAAAAAAAAGTATTCTAAATGCATTAAATATTCAAGTTTTATAATGTTCTTACCAATATTTTAGGGATCAGTGCTTTTAGCTTTGTTAGCTTCCTCTGCAAGCCAATTGGACCTCTAAGGAATTCGAAAAAAAATTAATACCTCAGCCTAGCAGTAGAAAAAAAGATTTAATTTTCGTGGAATTAGTTTTTCTTAATTTTTTTATTGTGCTTTAAATAATGTAAAAGCTCAAAGTTTCTTTTTAACTTTGGCTTAAAATTCAGATAATTTAAAAACAAATTTAAAAAAAGTAATATAATTTCTTAAATACTATTTTCATTGATACTAAAATAGTCACTATATTAGAGATGAGTTTGAGCTCACTTTTTTGGCTTTTGGCTCACTTTCGAATAAAGTCACTATCAGTGACTTAATTCGACTGTGAGCTGTTCCTACTGTCTAGAACTTAATTCGACTGTGAGATCTTCTACTATCTGTAACTTAATCAGCATTAAATACAGAATTCAATTCAATTATAGCATTATACATAGTGATTCTATTATAGCATTAAATTTAACGAATCAATTATAGCTTTAAATACAGAATGCGATTCAATTGGCTAATGATAAATAATGAAAGAACTCAGAAAACAAAAATAACCTTCATCGATATATGTAATGATGATGATAAATTTTAATTATCTAAAATTCTTAACAAAGCCGAATTGATCAATTCACTATGCGTCAATAAAACTTAATGGTGATAGATAATTGAGTTCGAACTCCATATTCACAGCGGCCAGTCCGGAATTCCAAGCTTCTTATCATATTCTTGGTAGTGAATTAACAATTTAGATAAGCTTAATTTGTTTAATGCTGCATCATTTGTTTATTATTGCATTTAATTTGTACTTTCGG